AAAAAAAAAAAAAGAAGAGAGAGATGAAATAAGACATCTAATTTACAACGTCCTGTAAGGATTCCTCTCATACACAGAATGCATTTTGCAAATACAGAGGCACATCTTAAAATCATACAAGAGGAGACAAGAGTGCCTAATGGTGCCATCACATAAAAAGGAACACCTACTTCCCCCACAGAGAACTGTGGTACTGAGGATTGAACCAAGGGTCTCATCCATGCTCCATGCTAGTCAGGTGCTCTACCACTGATCTATATCCCCAGTCCTTATTTTACCATCCATCCCCTAATTGCTGTGTCCTTACAGAACAAGAGGGCTTCAAATTCTGGCTTGGATGGTCCAATTGAGCATGGGTTCTCAGTTTTCTCATCTGAGAAATGGAGATACTGGTAACAGCAGGGCTGACTTCATGTGACCTGGGCAATCACTCAGGATCCTATGCTCAAATAGCCCAGGCTTGGTTGAATGCTCTGCTATTGCTATCTTGGAATTCTGAACAAAATTTTTTAAAGGCGGCCCTTCATTTTATGTTGTAATGAACCAGTAAATCATGTTGCTAACTGGTTAGCATCATCTCAAACGGTTGGTGGGAGTATTAATTTTGGGGAACAGTTTGTTATTTGGATCACCTTTCACCAGACAGAATTCACCCTAATGCCAGTGTCCATAATTGCGCTGAATAATCAAATGGCTACAATTGCTTTTTATGTATCAGATTCCCACATAGAAGAAAGAGCTTAGGGGAAAATTGCCTTGGTAGGAAAGATTAGTCCTCCTCATGGCTCAAATTGATTTTGCAAGGTTTCCCCTCCTTGGAAGCTCACAGTCTTTCCCTGCCTTCCTTTCCTATGAATTTTTATAGAGCCCCAAATTTGAGGTATTTGATTCTATAATATTTAGAAGGAGGGGAATAGGGCAGGGAATGGAGTTGCCATTTGATTGGGGGAAACCAAGGTACTTGGAAATGGGGGAGGCAGAGAGGAAGATGAATGTAGTTATTTTGTTTTCTTGAAAGATTAAAACATCCTTGGGCTGGGGTTGTAGCTCAGTGGCAGAGCGCTGGCCTTGCACACGGGAGGCATGGGTTCAATCCTCAGCACCACATAAATATGAATAAATAAAATAAAGGTATCATGTCCGTCTACAACTAAAAAATAGAATTTAAAAAAAAACATTCTTGAATAGAAGTAAACTCTTCCAATTTAACAGCCAACAATTGAAGGGCAATGCAGAGGGAAGCCCGGGAGCTATCCTCACTCTCCTCTCCCTTCCTTATGTCCCACACCCTCCTGGTTACACTGTGCTGTCCACCCTCCTCCTAGACTTCTTCCAAGTTGGCCCCTTCTCCCTCTCTGTATGGGCCTGCAGCATACCAGCCTACAGCACAGCCATGCTCTCCTGACCACACTCCTTCCTGACCATCTCTTCAAACCCACCTTAGTGATCTTGTTTGACTTTTTTTTCTTTTTAGCAGTTTGAGATGTTTTTCACAAGTCATACAACTCATCCATTCAAAATCCAATGAGTTTTGGCATATTACATTTTTTGTTGTTGTTGTTGTTTTAATAAATTTATATAACATAAAATGTACCATTTTAACCATTTTAATTATATAATTCAGTGGCTGTAATTAACATCCCAGATATGCAACCATCACCACTACTTCCCGAATTTTGAAGATCAAACAGGAACTCAGTACTCCTTAAACAGTAACTCTCCACTCCTTCCCTCCAGCTCCTGGTAATCTCTGGTGTACATTCTATCTCCATGAATTTGCTTGTTGTAAATGTTTCATATAAGTGGACACGTGCATTATTTGTCCTTTTGTGCCTGGCTTATTTCTTAGGATAACATCTTCAAGGTTTCAGATTGTCATTCCTTATATGGGTGAATAATATTCTGCATTTTGTTGATCCATTCATTCATTGATGGACACTTGGTTGCTTCCACCATTTGACTACTGTGATTATGCTGCAATGAATGTTACCCAAGCAACTGTTGGGTCTCTGTGGGGCATATGTTCCCTGGAGTCCCTTTTGACTCCTCTAGTCACTTTGCACTCAGCAACCACAATACTCTTATATGTATGTATGTATGTATGTATTTATTTGGTGTTGTGGATTGAACTCATGCTAGGCAAATGCTGTACCACTGAGCTAAACCTCCAGCTATAAGCATGGTAATCTCTTACAGAGCACATCCAGTCACATCACTTCTCTGCTTATAACCTACTGCCAGCTTCACATAAAAATGTCCATTAAGCAATACCTTCAGATAAAGATGGAAGTGCTTGCTGAGGCCTCCAAGGTCCTCAGCTCCAGCCTGTTGGACTCTCCAGGTCACCCTGCCCTTTCCTCTGTTCCAGCCACCCTAGCCATCTCTTCATCCTTCTATGGAGCCACATTCTTTTTGGATTTCAACAGACTAGTGCCCTTTTCTAAAATGTTCACCCTCCCCTCATGCCTAGCTTGTGCCAACTCCTGCCATCTTTCTCATCCATCTTGCCTTGGAATTTCCCCCTGGCATCTGCCCTCCCCGCTCTGCTCATTTCTTCTTGTTTCTCTCTTTTGCTCCAGTGGCCCCTGGTCTTTCACCAATCTCCATTTGTTGGGCAGTAACTGTTCAACGTGTTTCTTCCATGTTGTAACACAGCTAATATTGACTGAACACTTACTGTTTCAGGCTCTGTATTATGCACATCACCTGTGTCCACTTATTAAATCCTCATAACTAGCCTGAGGATTTTACAGATAAGGACGCCTGGTATGCGGTCACAGTAACAATGCCCACCCTGGCATCTGGAAGCTACTGTAGAACCAGAGAACAGTGCAGCCAGCCCCTGCCCCCCCCCCAGGGAATGTGGTTGTCTCACGCTGCCAGTAGGTCCAGTCCCTAGCATAGAACCTGGCACACACTGTACCCAATTCATATACAAACCCAAGCAATGAATGGATAGATTAGAAAATCCAAGAGGGACCGGAGCCCTGGGCAAACTTTACTAACTTCTGCGTCTTGAGCATTCTTATCTACACTCCCAGGCCCAGCGACTCCAACTAAGAAGTGCACATTAATACCTATGGCCCAGGATTATTGAGAAGGCTGAGTTTTTATTTTCATGTAGATGTAAAAAAATCTTTGTGCCTAGTAAACTCGATCCGGCTCGACAAATCCTGAAGCTTAGCATTGCCATCAGGGAAAAAGGGAATGAGAAATCCCAATTCCGCTGGCTTAGCCCTTGTGGGAGCACTGTGTGAAACTCAGTGTCTTTTGCCCCTCTGCAATCTCTGTGGCCCACCTCAGAAGGGGCACCACCGAGAGTTTTCTCTCCCATGCCTCCCTGCAGCGCTCTGAGGCTCTTTGGCTCTGGAGCCCGCGGGGGCAGTGCTCCTGGCCCCGCCTTTGGGCCTCATTATCTGCGTTTCCGCGTCAGGCACGCCGGGAACTTGGCAGGGCCTGCGGGCGGTGATCAGGAACATTTTGTGCCTAGCGCTCGCCGGCCTGGCTTTTCTCCCTTTGACCGGCGCCACCGAGCGGGGATCGCTGGCGCGGACCGTAGGGCTGGGGTCTCTCAACCCAGGTAGCTGCCCGTGGGCGCACTTGTCCTGGGTTCCTCCGAGCTCTTCGCCTCCGGGCTGGGCTTCCAAACCAGAGTCACACCGCACGTAATCAAGATGTTCGTAAAGATGCTGTGGCCCATTTTAAAACAAAGCCCAATTATTAGCGCTCAGCAGCTCTTTATTCGGGCCCAGTGTAAGATGGCCAATTGCTGCTGAGAATCAACAAGCAAAGGAAACACAGTGGAAGGGAAAAGAAATCGGTTCTGGGGCCCTTTGACTTCTTTTGAGACCCCCATTGGTGCTTGTCCTGTCTGCCAGACCTTAGGCAAATTCTGGGGCTCGGTCTTCTATCATGTGAAATGGGAATTAGGAGTGCTTGGTGACTACACCAGGAGCGCAGCGGGTCGCTAGGATAGCAGTGCTGTTATCCTGTGCCTCCAGGACCCCACCTTCCCTTGGTCCTCCGCTGGGAAGCGCCCGGGCTGCAAACACCGAAATGCCTCTAAAGTGCGTCACGGGCACCGGTCGCGCTGCTCGACTGACCAGGGTGAAGCTGGCACTCCGCCAGCGCGGGCTGGGCCAGGAGTGTCGGGCCTTCTCCCTGTTTGTGACCCCAGCGTGGAAGGCGCTCAAGTGGCGCAGATTGGGGAGCGCTGTTGGGGGCGCTCTCCCCTGCCTGCTACGCAGCAGCCACCGGCCTCCGCAGCCTCCGCCGGGTGAAGGCTACGCTTTCTCTAGGCCCCCCACCCTCCCCGCTTCCTTACCAGCGGCGGCAGCGGAGATTTCCTCCCGGGGAAACTACGCGGATCCTTCCCGGGGCTCCTCGCCCCGCCCCAGTTCTCCGCCCCCTCCCCTTTGCTGGGGATCCCGGGCTGGGCTGCTTCTGGGAGGAGGCTCCGACAGCCAGGAGGCGGCGGGGGGCAACGAGCTACAGGCTACCGACGCGCTCAGCCATGTGACGCCGCCCTCCTTTCTGCGATCCCCCGGCACTCTGGGCCCCTCCGGGCGCCCCGCTGCGCAGCGCACCATGCGCCTGCCAGGACGCACGCGCCCACCGCCAGCGCCCCAGCCCGCGCAGCATCCCGCCCTCCGCAGGCAGGTAGAGCCTCCCGGGCAGCTCCTGCGCCTCTTCTACTGCACGGTCCTGGTCTGTTCCAAAGAGATCGCAGCACTCACGGACTTCTCCGGTAAGAGCGCCCTCCTTCGCGGTGCGTCCCGGGCGCCAGGTTGCGCCCAAGTGAGCCCTCCGCTGGGAGCAGCTGCCCGAGGGGCCACGATCTGGTTGGGTTAAAGTTGAGGAGTGCTCTTAGTCAGTTTTCTTGGCTGATAGATGGTTGCGTGTGGCAGTGGCGGCAGGGTAGCCCCCCACTCCAAGGAAGGATGTGCAATGTGTTTGGAGTTTCTTGCCCTCCCGTCCACTTCGTCAATTTTCCCACACCAGCGACCCAGCACTGACAGTCGCACGTTCACTGGCGGCTCCCTAGGCTGAACCCTATGCCGCGCCCAGCTCTAGAAGATACACGTGTTGTGGTGGAAGGAGTTGTACTTTCTCTGCCACCCACATAGTTAAGTTGCTCCCCAAGCAGACTCCCGGGTGCCCACATAAGGAGATTAGCGCAGGAGACCCTAGACCTGAAGTCCTTGCCGGCAGGCAGCGAGCAAGCCTGCGGGCAACAGAGGTCTGGTGGAGATCCCATGAGAGATGGGGAGAAGCTCACAGAACAGGGAGGACTTCACTTCCAATAGGTGCCCAACGTTCCCGGTCTCCCTGGTTTCCTTCACACACATACAAATGTCCCGACTTCCTCCTACTGAGTAAACTACAAGGCTTTTCTTTTTGGGAATTCCGACCCAACCTCCTGCAAAGGATGTTAGTTCCAAGGAGGCAGGTGTGGCCCGCAAAGTCAGTGAAGTTTCGAGGTCGGTGATGGCTATAGAAACATGTGCTTCTATTAGCGCGGCACTTGTTTAAGGTAACAAGAGCCCTTGTTGCAGTTATGGCCCTGGGTCTCCAACTGGCAAGGCTGGAAGCCTGCAAACAGCCCCCACTCCCTCCGCCTAACCCGGGAAGCAGCTCCGAGCCCCACACTCCCCCTTCTCAGGGATCTTCTGCCAAGTCCAGGCTTTACACAGACCCTGTCTGGGGCCCCCTGGTGCAGGGTCTTTTGCAATATAATCATGGTAAATGGAGTCATTCCTCCGCGCTGTTTGTGCAGTAGACTAGTACATGGCAAAGAACACTGGCAAAGCAAAAGTTGAGTTGGGTTTCTGGTTTACTTACAGAGAATGCCATTGTTAGCTGAAAGCCCTTGGGTCAGAGGTTCTTTGCTTTGAATATTTAATATCAAGGCAGTGTTCCTGCTTGGCAAAGGAAGCCAAGATATGCCTATTTGGCAAGCAAACTATGGCCCTTAAAATCAAGCCCCAGAGAATCAAAACTCTGTGGTAAATGTGCTGGGGAAATGCATCGGGTTTTTCAAGTGCTATCGACTTTTTCTTTCTTTCTTTCTCCTCCTTCTTCCTTTTTCTTTATAATAGAACTTTCTTGGCTGCTACAAAAGCTTTGCATTTGCTGATTTAAGCTATAGGGAGCCGTTCTAAGTTCAGTACATCTAGCTCTGAATATTGTAAGGCAAGAATGAAAAGCTGACAAGCCCTTTTTTGGTGACATCATTGCAACTGAACAAATATTGCTTTAGGCAAATTGTACTGTAACCATTAGATTGTTTTCACAGATTATAGACACTTAGAGTTTGTTTCTTTAGGGAAGTAGTTGCAATACTTGTTACAGTCTATAGGTTACTGCGCTCCCACCCCACCCCAGCTTAGAATTGTCTGTGTAGCAATAATTATACACTTGAATTTGACATATCAAACAGGGAGACTGCATCCTGAGGGAAATGGATGCTCTGATGCAGATTCCTGTAAGTAATAAGAATAACAAAAGCCTTTTCCTTCTGTTCTCCATGTGGACCCAAATTCTAGAGCTTTAAACTCCCTGCAACCAGCAGTAGGTGGTGTTGTTGCCAGGTCCATCCACAACCCAGCCCCATATTTCAGTGTTACTTCCTGGGGACCTGAAGGCTAGGGAGAAAGTGTAAGTCAGCCTTTGGGGAAGAGGAGGAAGAAGACGAGAGGAAACCACAGACACTTTCAAGTTTAAACCCCAATTCTATACAGTATGGGATCAAGAAAACATTAGAAAAGTTTCAGGAAGAAAGATGAAGTTTTGCAAAGTCAGCTGATTTTACTAGAAACTTTAGGAAACTTTAGGACCCCCTACCCCAAGCCCTGTGTTAGAGGGCATGGAAGGAAAGTCCTAAGCTCCAAAAATGAGTCTTCGTGTCCACTTGAATGTGTTGGTTGAAGCAGTAGGTCCTGATCATGTGATTCCCTGTGGTCTCAAAGCCTGCTTTCCTGGGGACAGACAGTCCTGTTCCCCTTTTTATGAACTTGGCGGAGTATATAGAAATGAAACAGAGGCTCCACAGAGACAGGGGACCCTCCCCCGCAGAGCTCTACAACAATAGCAGAGGACCGGAGAGCATGTTTGACTATACAGATGCTGCTGGCTTGTTTTCTAAATAAGGGAAACATCAAAAACTGGTGCAAGATGCAGGGAGACTCCTTTGCAGGAGGGTGGTTTATACATATGAAAGAAAGTGCCAAAATGTCAGGGGTCCCAGCCACAGTCTGTATACTATAGGGCCTCCCAGGAGGTCTGCTTTGCAGTTTGGGAAAGTTACTTAAGCCTTTCTCTTCTCTGCAACTCTTCCTTGAGCCTTTGCCTGAGGCTGTCAGCTGGTATCATTTTCCTGGGTCATTGATTTTTTTGCCCTGGGGATTCCAGCATCAGATCTCTTAATAACCCAGAGGCTGCATCTTGGCCCCCTCCTCCCCCTCCATGCTCGTGACTTGTGCTAATCACCTCCAAGCCTGCTGAGATACAGGCTCCCAAGCATTCTCTTCTCTCTCTTCCCTGAGGATTTTGAGATGTTGCCAGTGGCCACTAGAAGACTATCATCACTGCATTAAAAAAATGTGTCCTAGAGAAGGCAAGCATGGTGCATGCAAAATTAGTGCCTCTGATCCTTAAGCCCATCCTCAAACGTGACTGGCTTCCATCCATGTTCCTCTTTGGGATGGGGTTCCGTTCCATTGACTGCATCCTCAAAATGAGGATTTGGCCTGAGATAGCCAAATTGGTCATTGATTTTTGAGGGGTTGCTTTGAAGAAAGCAAAGGGAAGTATAAGAGATCAAGGCTAGGCACTGGAGTGTGGGGGTGAGAGCTGAGAGGAGGGTGGGGTATCCTTGCGACCCCATCAATGAAAACCTCTGCCTTAAAGAGTGGGGCTTCAATGTGTCTTTTGGACTTGGTTTGCAGTGGCACCTGGGTACTTGTTGACTTTTTGTTGTTGCTGGTTTTATTCTGTGGTTTCTCTGATGAGGACACACTTAAGTCTTCTCTTTCCACCCATTTCTTCCCTTTCTTCCTGGTTTTGCCCTACTTTTAGCATGTAGTGGAAAGTGTGAGAAGCAGGAGGGAGAGGGGATGGGAGACAAAGATAGTGGGGGCAGTCTGCAAGGTCTTCCTTGTCCTCAAATGCCCCTTGGCTTCGAAGAAAGGTCATTGTATGATGGATGTGGTTCCCTGGGCCACTGTTCTGCTCTCTGCCATCTGTAACCCAAGTATGCAACAAGTGGCACTTAGTACCAGGTCGTATCAGTCTGCGTGGGCTGCCGTAACAAAGTGCCACAGGCTGGGTGGCTTAAACCGCAGAGATTTATTTTTCCATGGTTCTGGATAGTAGAAGTCCTAGATCAAGATCTCGGCAGGGTTGGTTCCTTCTGGGGCCTTTCTCCTTGTCTTGAAGATGGCTGTCTTCTCACTGTGCCCTCACAGGCTCTTCTCTCTGTGTGTGTCTGTGTTCTAATCCCCCCTACAAGGACAACAGTCATATTGGATCAGAGCCCACATTAATGACCTCATTTTAACTCAACCACCTCTTTAAAGGCCATAGCTCCAAATACAGTCACATTCTAAGGTATTGGAAGTTTGGACCTCACGGTGTGAGTTTTAGTGGGATGTAATCAGCCTATAACGTAGCTCATTGGCAGCCCAATAAATAAACCTGACTGGCAGCTCCTTATTTCATTGGCCAGGAATATTCATAATATTGAAATGTGGCAGTTGAATACACTTTGGAAGCACACAGAATGACTTGAGGAGACTAAAAAATATTTGTTCAGCTGGACCCCAGGACTTCTGATTTCATTGACCCAGGAAGAGCCAGGCATTGTCTCTTTTCTAAAGCAGAGTTGGGAACAACTGCCCTGGTGTCACAGAGGAGGGCTGCCTCCTGCTCATGCATCATTTCATCCAGGGGCACATAGGTGTGGCTGGCCGGGTGTCCCCTTCAGACTCCAGCCCAGGGCTCACCCTCAGAGAGACCAGGACTGTGCATTTCCAGCTCCTCCCAGTCAACACCTCTCATTCCATTCCCACGGGCACACACACATGCGCACACACCCCTCCACGTTTTGTTATGCCTCCGTCACATCATCCGGTATTTCAGGAGTTATCTTCACTTTAAAACATTTTATGCAATGAAAAGCCAACTCGTAACTAAAGTAAAACAAACTTGAGTGTCCGAAGGAGGTGTCTAGCTGTCACAGAAGAAGAGCGATGAGGAGCAAGTGTCTGAAATTGCTTGTCTGTTTCCTTGGAAAGTCACTATATGTGAATAATGTTCTGCCAGCTCTTTCTGCAGCAGGGCAGTGTCTCGGCTTGCGAGCGGTCCTGTAATTGATGGCTTTGGTCGCCCAGGTGCTTTATTCGATAGGGCAGCCCAGGGGTGAAACAGAAAGGGAAGGAGTAACAATTAATTGAGCTCAGTGTTATTTGATTTCATCCTCAGAGCAACCCCATGAGGTAAGTATTAATTTCATTTACAGATGAGAAGTAGCCTCAGAGACCGTAACTAAGTTGCCTGGGACCACCCGGCTAGTAAGCAGGACTGGGGCAGCCTCCAACACTAAACCAAGGCCAAGCTGGGGACTTGGTCCTTGAGAGTGTCAAGGCAGCAAGATCAGGAAGGAAAAAAAAGTGACCACGATCTGCCTGACCTTTCTAGGTAGTTCATGGAGTGGACTCTGCCGTTTCAGGTGCCTTCTGAGGAGATTGA